GGTTGCTATAGAAGAATCAAAGTATTTAAAAGCATTATCTTTGGAAAGTTTAGTGGGTACCTTGCAATCCCATGAATTGAAAGTGAGGCAATTTGATGATTCCTCGATGGAACAACCATTTCAAGTTTCAACCAAATTGAAAGGGAAGGAACCTGGAAATGATTTGGGTGATGATAAAAACAAGTATGATCATGATGGCGGAACTTCCAAGGGAGAAGGTGAAAATTATAGGACGTGAACCAATTTTCTATTTTTATTGATTGAATGCACAGGGATGTAAAATAGATCTCTGTGATATATATATGAAAGACAAAACAAACCCCCAGCAATAAAAGGGAAAATACCAAAGTTAGAAAACACAAGGAAGGAAACAAATAATCTAAAATCGTATGATATCTTTTATTTTCTTTACTCCCCCTCAAGTTGAGCATGAAGGTTCCAAATGTTCAACTTGACCAAAAGAGACTTCAACTGATCTCCACTCATTTTTGTAAGTAAATCCGCCAACTGTTTCCTTGTGTGCGTCCAAACCGGAATGACTTCTTTAGACTCCACCCTTTTGACGAACAAAGAAACAATCCATTTCCACATGTTTAGTACGCTCGGGTTATGGGCAATGTGTCGGGCAGACTCATTGTCACAAAAGAGAGTTGTAGGTTGGTTAATAGAGACACCAAGTTCCAAAAGAAGCCAACGCACCCATAGAATCTCGCTGACCGTTGTAGCCATGGCACGATATTCCGCTTCAGCGGAAGACCGTTAAACCACAGACTGTTTCTTCGATTTCCATGAGACCGGCGCACCACCCAAGAGTAACAAATACCGAGTTCTGGAATGAAGAGAGTAGGGACAACCCCACCAATCTGAATCACTATATGCTACCAATTCTACTGGAACATCGCGAGGAAGAAGAATACCTTGGCCCATCGTGGTTTTAAGGTACCGCAAGACACGTAGCGCCGCATTCCAATGACTTTGTTTAGGGTCTGACACAAACTAACTGAGGATATTAACAAAATAAGTTATGTCTGGTCGTGTCGCTTGAAGATACAGGAGACGCCCAACCAGACGACGATACATGTTTGCATCTATGCTCTCTTCTTTATCACATTTGTCAAGCTTGAGGTTTTGTTCCATGGGGAACCGATTGGGTCTGCAACCAAGCATGCCTGAGTCCTCCAAAATGTCCATGGTGTATTTATGTTGACTGAGTCCTCCAAAATGACCATGGTGTATTTATGTTGACCAACAATCACAACGTCATCTACATAAATAAGAGCAGCCACAAAGGTGTGCTTGTACTTATGAATAAAAAGTGAGTGATCCGCATGAGATTTCTGAAAATCAAGTTCACGTAAAGCAGTAGTGAACTTGTGATACCAATTTCTACTTGCTTGTTTCAAGCCGTAGAGTGATTTCTTTAATTTGCATACCCGAGTTTCACCTTCTTTACCGAAGCCCTATGGTATCTTCATATAAACATCTTCTTCTAAGTCGCCATGCAAGAAGGGGTTGTTCACGTCTAATTGCTGAATTATCAAATTGTTTTTCACTGCCATGGTTAAAAGGATTCGAACCGTGACAAGTTTAGCGACCGGGGCGAAGGTGTCATGAAAATCTACACCCTGTAATTGCGTATACCCTTTTGCAACAATACGAGCTTTGTATCGCTCTATATCACCATTGGGTTTGTACTTAATCTTGTATATCCATTTTGAATCGATCGCCCTTTTTCCTTTTGGAAGATCTGTGAGATCCCACATGTCACTATCCTCCAAAGCCTTGATTTCAGACTTCATTGCATCTCTCCACCTTGGATCATGAGTTGCATGCTTGAAGGTTTTTGTTTCATTGTTTGTAACAATGGCCGCTAAGAAAGCTCTGTGAGAACGAGTGAATTTATTATCAGTAACATAACGAGAGAGGGGATGTACCGTGGAAGCAATTTGATTGGCAGCAGGTGGAGGATGACTGATCGATAGGGGATGACGAACTTCAAAGTCTTGGAATTGGAATGGTTGTATTCTCATTCTCGGAGCTCTAGTTGCATCTGGACTTGACGTGATGTTTATATCATCAGTTTGTGTTTTAACATGTGTGGTGGTCTCATCAGTAACTTGGTTAGACACAGATTCCATTGGCTCATTAGTCACCACTCCATCCTCCATGTCAACGTCAGATGACATAACATTATTAGGAATTGGAGTATTTTTGTTTTCGTCGTCAAGCTCAAACATGTCTTCATGTCGCATCTGTTCATCGGGTTTGGTGTGGTTCATGGGAAAGTCGTTTTCAAGAAATCGAACATCTCGTGAAATGACTATCTTTCTACTCTCCAAATCATATATTTTGTAACCTTTGGTCCCCGGTGGGTAACCAACAAAGATGCCAGGTTTACCACGCTGCTCGAACTTGTCTCCCCCGGTGTCTATATTCCTATGATAGGTCAAGCAACCAAACACCCGCATATGTTCATATGAGGGTTTTTGTTTAAAAGGACCTCATAAGGCGTGGCCCCATGCAGAATTTTCGAGGGCATTCTATTTATGACATAAGTCGCTGTTAAAACACATTCTCCCTAGAAAGTCTTTGGTAAGTTAGCTTGGAAACGTAGAGCACGAGCGGTTTCAAGCAAGTGTCGATGCTTGCGTTCCACCACCCCATTTTGTTGTGGGGTGTGTGGACAAGACGTCTCCAAAACGATGCCCTATTGAGCATAGAAATCTCTCATGTTGTTTTACACAAGCTGTCCCCCATTGTCAGTCCGTATTCGTTTGATTTGAACTCCAAATTGCGTCTTGACCATTTTGCAGAAGTCTATAAGGCATGTGCTCGCCTCATGTTTTTGTTTTAGCAAAAAGGTCCATATAGCCCTGCTAAAGTCGTCTACTACAGTAAGAAAGTAATAAGCTTTATTCATGGACGAGGTTCTATATTTCCCCCACACGTCACAATGTATCAAATCAAAACATGCAAGTGTTTTTATTTCACTAGTAGGAAAAGGAAGGCATGTGTGTTTGGCTTTAAAACAAGCATCACACTTATGATTGTCCTTTGAAACATGAATAAAGTCTAAGTGTGAAATCTTCTTAGTTGATGGATGACCTAGTCTCTTCTGCCATACATCAAAAGTGGTCATCAGGGCTTTGTTCATCTTCATTGTCCCCATTCGATACAGTCCTCCAACCCGGTTACCCGCTCCAATCAAGTGCTTCATCCCCAACTCCTGTATAATAAAGAAACCAGGGAAAAAAGTAACAGCACAATTAAGATCATCTGCAAGTTTGCTGACTGCAAGAAGATTATAATCAAAACTGGGAACAAACAAAACTCTTTTTATCTTAACACCTCATGGTAGAGTATGTTCACCTTCTCCCATGACAAACACCTTATCCCCATTAGGAAGGATAACAGGTGCCCCTTTAGGGTTTTGGGTATTATTTTGTAGGCAGTCACTTCTACAAGTCATGTGTTCTGTTGCCCCAGAATCAACAACCCAACCATCACATGTGAGATCTTTACCTGCCATGTTTGCCCTTGGTTGATTTTCGTTGCCTGACATGTTTCTGTTCTCCTTGAAGTGAGTGACAAATAAATGATATTGTTCATCTGTGAGTCCTGGTATAGGACTTGACACCATCTCAACGCAAGCAGCTTTAGGTCTCGATTTATCTTTCTTGCCCGGCCACCATTCCGGGTACCCAACGATCTTGAAACATCCTTCTTTGTTGTGACCCTCTCTCTGGCATAATTTACATTTTTCTTTCTTGTCGAGTTCTGATTTTGTGCCCTTTTGTGTTGTTTTATTTGTCACATACGTGTTCTGCTTCCCTTGATGTTGTTGGTACCCTCTTTGCAAGTTGTAATTAGCCTGGAAAGCTGATGCTTCAGCGCTGGCTCTTTTCGATCCTCCCGTGATTGCCCTCTGCTGTTCGTTTTCTGCCACCAGGTGGTAGATAGTCCCCAACGATGGTGTTGGTTTCATGGCTAAGATTTGGGTGCGTATAACCGCAAAATCTTCGTCAAGTCCCATAAAAAATTCGTACGCCTTCTCCTTCTCTTTCACTTCATTTAGTTGTTTCCCAATATTGCAATCACACCCACTGCACTTACAGCGAGGCGTAGGAAGAACCATTTGGAGTTCATCCCAGATGGATCGAAGCTTGGTGTAATAAGTGGAAACAGAGGTACCTTCTTGCCGCATGGAGTTTAGGGTTTGTTTCAATTCATAGGCGTGAGGTGCTCCTTCCTTTTTGAACCGTTCCTCTAAATCTCTCCAGATTTCTGTTGAGGTGTTTGCGTATCGTATGCTTGTTTGAATCTCTTTCTCCACCGCCGCTGTTAACCATCCTTTGATCATTGCGTTTGCACGTACCCACGCAGAGTGTAGAGGTGACGTTGATTCAAGTTTCTTGATGGTGCCGTCGACCAACCTATCTTGTTTTTCGCAAGCAGGAAATTCACCATCTCCTGCTTCCATTCGTTATAATTGTTATCGTTTAACATGTCGTTCACCTGGACCTGTTTTGGATATTCATAAGGATTAACGTAGAGAGGCGAGTTGACATCAATCGTCTCTCCATCATCCACCTTCTTGTTCCCATCTCCTCCTTTCTCTCCCGCCATGGTCACCGGAAAGGTTTAAATAACCTGCTCTGATACCATGAAAATTATAGGACGTGAACCAATTTTCTATTTTTATTGATTGAATGCACAGGGATGTAAAACAGATCTCTGTGATATATATATGAAAGACAAAACAAACCCCCAACAATAAAAGGGAAAATACCAAAGTTAGAAAACACAAGGAAGGAAACAAATAATCTAAAATCGTATGATATCTTTTATTTCCTTTAGAAGGATCATTCAAAAGAATACCTTTGTCAGAAAAACAATGTTATTATTGTCACAATTATGGTCATATAATGAGGTTTTGCAGGAAGAAGCAACAAGATGAGAGTCAAGAAGATGCCTAGTTCGTAAAGGTGTCCGAGGAGACTATGTTTTTGATGATTGAAGAAGATGATAAAGGCTTTGTGGATGATTGTGTTGTTTCATTAAAAAGGTGTGATGCTGTACCAGATGAAAAGATTATGGGCAATGTTTCTGATGATGTTTTCTGTGATGAATTAGAAGTTGTGCAATGCATGGCTGTGGATGTTTGGCGAAAAATGTTTCTGATGATGTTTTCCGGAATCGTGTCTAGCTTAAGGGGGTGTGTTGGAAAATATAAGCTAGACAAGGGTAGTTTGGTAATTATCTATTAAAATAGTATTTATTATTAGTATTTATGGTATTTGTTCTAGACCGATTAGATTGAACAATTGTGTTGGTTTGAATGGGTTGCATTTGACCGGTGCATTGGTTGGGATAGTAACTGTCATTTGACAGTTACACATAGGTCTATATATAGTACGTGTCCATGTAATGTTCTGTTGTTGTAGTAATCAATAAAGAATTGTGTTTTGTGTACAAGGCAACCATTCTTCTTCATTGTTTTCAGTTAAACTCCTCCAAACTTTGTGTTTTTTATTTGATGTGTTTTTTATTTGACTCTAATAGTTTTAAATACAGGAACTAATTAATATGGGGGCTCAAACACTGGTTGCTCCAGGAACCTTTCCAATTGGGTGTTCTAGTATGATTCTAACAAGCCATTTTTTTGAAAAAGAAGAAGAGTATGATAACAGAACCGGTTGCCTCATCAAGTTCAATACGCTTGCCGAATACCACAATGAACTGCTGCAAACAAAACTAAACCACCTTCGAGAGCTTCATCCGAATGTCATCATCATCTATGCTGACTACTACAATGCTGCCATATAGATTATCTGTTCTCCAGATAAATTTGATACTTTTTATTTTGTTGAACGGCCAGATTTATATTAAAAGGAAAACGAACGCATAACAAAAAACAAAATTACAAAGACACACCACCTACGAAGTTAATGTTGGATTTAAAGCCTCAAAATATGATTAATAGAAACTCACAAATATATGTATGTGAATTTGATAAAAAAATATAACTCTCACTCTTCGGTTATGAATGTATATACAGAGGGTAAAGGAGCTAAAAGATACTTCTATTATAATAATGAAACAAAACAGGTAGCAAATGAAAGAAAGTTACTACTACAACTCTACTACTCTAGCTATGTGATCTATTTAAATAAGAAAAAAGAAAAGATACCCACATTTTGAAACTTACTCCTAAAGCAAAGCACATATGGGGATGAAACCCCTCAAGAATCGGTCTCCCTTTGAACATGTAAACCTTTCTTATTTTCAATGTTTATTATTTCTGGATATGTTAACGTAAACTCCATATAGAAAACTGATACCGACCCGTGACCCGATAAATAAACGATTATCCTAACAGTTAAACGGTCCAATAGGAATATAAATACACCACTGATAGACTAACATATCATTCACCTATGACCACATAATCCAGTACTATGCAAACCCCAAACCTTTTCTTGTTGCCAGAATCCAGTCTCCCCCCTGTTTCGTGCATCATGATGCCCAGTCTAGTGATCGGCGTACCCATGATAACACAAAATCTTGTTGACATAAAGAAACTTTTTATCCAATTTGAGTCTCTACTCCAGTAAGCCAGGAAGGAATTAATATACACAACAGCAACTTTTACCAATTTCCAAAATCTTCCCAACACAAACAAAACACCTTTTTAACGTGAAAAATATCTCAATCACACCAACACCCTTTGATCTCACAATTAAGATTGCACCCCAAAACCTGAACAAATTCTATGAGTTCCCATGCATCTAATCCACCACGACCAATGTTCAAAATAATGAATGTGATGTAAGATTTAGAACCTTAAATCTGGTAAAAAGAACTCACAAATATGTCTAGGTGAGAGTGTATAGAACTATTATACTTGGGAAAGGAAATATCCAGAGGGTAAGAAAACAAAAGAAAACCAAAAGCCTTATCTTTCATTCACATATAAAGGGCTATATATAGTCTGACACCGAACTGATATAACATCATGATAAGGAAAATAAAAAAATCTAATAATGCTAGCTAAAGAACAGGTAAACTGGGAAGACCACCCACGTGCACTAGCCTAAGAACCGGTCAAAACTATTTACCAAGTCTTTTATTAACTCTAAATAAACAAAGTAACTGAAGTACCCTTTGAAGTAAAATACCCATTAATTGACTGTGATACCAAACCCAAGTATGCTTTTGGGTCTTCAAAATCATGCCATGCAATGTCTTTGAACCCAAGCTTATTCCATGCAAACTCAAAACCAAAATAATCTAAACCTGACCAATAACCACCTGGGACTTAAACCACCTGATTAATCCCAACATGTGTGTCCTATGACACCAAGAATCAATCCTTTTACATTCCCAAATAGATGAACTAGGCACTACCCTTAAACTGATAACCACTTACAATTGTTGAGACGTTGAAAATATAATCGAACGAATCCACATTAGCTGGAAGGAAATTAACCCCAACAATTTGACACGTATGCCCACCAACAGTTTTACTAGAGCATGCTCCTTCCTTCTTCTTCATTCATACACAAAGGGCAACTATGATCATCAAGTTATACGTCAATTTCAAATTGACAAATAGTAGGAAGTCGTTTTTTAAGAGTTCTCCGGATCAAGACATTAATTTCTCCAGGGATCAGGTTATTACACTTCAACTTTGCACAACAACCACGAAAAATTACATCATTTCATATGCCTTTATGATCCAACCGTGAATCTTTTCGAAGGATCTAGAGACCATTTCCCGCAATCTGTGTCTCGAGATAGCTTTACATTTAGGGATATCTCCAGAAAAATCCCAATATATTGGACAAATTTTTAATAAAGTCCTAAATTTTATTTTTTGAATAAAAAAGTCCTGACTTTTTCATATTTTGATTAAAAAAGCCCAAGAAACCGGCTAATTTATTCACTTTATCCATTTTTGACCTGTTCAGCAGGTCATGAGACTAAATTGTTAATTTTTCAAAAATAATGGGACTTTTTTGCAGATTTCGTCAAAATTTTTGTATAATGTATAAACATATTTTTTACTTATGTTGAAAGGACCCACACTTTCATATATATATATATAACAATTGTTACTCCGAAACATGCTACATGCATATTCATAAAACAATATTTTATATTGATAAAGTGGTTACAAACTATTGGATACAAACTCACTATTTCATAGTGTTTTATATTACATAACTTCCCAGGATTCTATAGATTTATACATATGGGAGTGCAAAATACAATAGTCTCAAACTATTCGAAAATCTTCTATCAAAACAATAGTTTCAAACTATTCAAAAATCTTCCATCAGTATATATAACTATACTGGAAGCTTATCTCCTGCAATTTAGTTAAATATTGAGAGGGGTAAGCGGTGACGCTTAGTAGTTCAATAATAGATACAATATAACGTTATGCCATATATATACTTCACTATGGCAGAGGCAAGGAGGAT